TGTAAGTGAGGTCTCCAGAACTGGACACAGTATTCTAAATGAGGTCTACCTAAAGATCTATATAGAGGAACCAGGACCTCCTTCCTCCTGCTGGTGACCCATCTAGTGAAGTGTCCCAGAATTCTATTTGTTTCCCTACTGTCTGGCCACACTGTTTGCTCATTTTGCAATCACCTGAAATAAGTACCCCCAAGTCCTTTTCCTCTGAACTGCTGGCCAACACTGTACCCCCAATGTTGTACTCTCTCAAAGGATTCTTTTCCCCTAGGTATTATTTTACATTAAGACACATTGAACTGCAATTTGCACTTTTTTGGCCAATGTATATGCCATCTATATGTCTGCCGTAGTAGACAATATTCTGAGAGAATGGGTTATTGTTCCATATAGATTGATGTTCCCAGAGACCCATTGCTAGATTAGCATAGCTTGGTGAAAAGCTTGCACCAATAAGCCAATATGGCCGCTTCATGGCCTGAGGAAGGAGCACACATGCTCCGAACTTGCACCGCCCACAAGCCACTCCTCCGTTTTCAGATCCGGTGACGCTTTCAGATCCGATGACATCATCGTTACCAGTGACAGAAACCCAGCGCCTTTGGTCCACCTCTCCACGCAGTCTGGGGATACACATGGGCAGCAGCTGTCCGGACCACACAGCATGAGTTGGCTCCAATAGTAATGTGCCTTACACAAGTCTCCCCTTGTGAGTTGCTATGATTATTCTTAAATAAATGGGACCTTATACTATCACTACACTCAGAAAGCGCTGCATTTTCCCCCTTCTTCTATATCCTATGACAGATCGGCTTCATCTGACAAGCCGGCTGCTTTCTCATTGGAAATATTTTTTATCCTTATATAAGGACTGTGGACTGTTTATTCTCATTGGACGTTTGGCGTCCCTCTGTATAGAACAATTTTTTCTGGTCTCTCTGAGCGTCACAATAATTTGTTGTTTTTTTCCATTTACTTTAAATGATGAGGCTAATGAAGGGCTGTTTTTGACACAAGAATAGGTCCAAGATAGTTGAAAGGAGCTTTTGTAACTCTCAGGAGCCTTATACTTCCTTAAAGCCCAACTCCGGGCAGATACAAAATTATTCTTTGCAGTGGAGCTGCAAGGGATAACAGTTTGTTTTTTAGGGGAGAGATAAACAGTTTTCTTTACCTGATCATCTGCTCCCCCAGTAGGTGATGCTCCCCCACAATCCATTGGTGGACTGTACCCCAGAGTCCTCACATTCAGAGCAGGGCTTTGGTCTTGATGACGTCAAAACCTTAGACCCATGGCACATAGGGATGCAGAAGCCTATGGGAATGATCTAGCTATCAGGAGTTGCTGAAGATCAGATAATTACACTCACTGACCACTTGCTAGTGCCAAGAAAATATCCCCCACCATTACACCACCAGCCTGAACCATTGATACAAGACAGTGTGGATCCATGCTTTCATGTTGTTTACACCAGATTCTAACACTACTATCTGAATGTCACAGCAACCAGTCTGTCCATTCTCCTCTGACCTCTGACATCAACCAGGCATTTTTGTCCACACAACTGCAGCTCATCTGGATATTTTCTCTTTTACAGACCATTCTCTGTAAACCCTAGATATGGTTGTGTGTGGAAATCCTCAGACCAGCCAATCTGGCATCAACAACTATGCCACGTCAAAGTCACTTAAATCCCCATTTCTTCTGCATTCTGATACTCGGTTTGAACTTCAGCAAGTCATCGTCAACCACATCTAGATGCCTAAATGCATGAGTTGCTGCCAAGTGATGGCTGAATAGCAATTTGTGTTACCAAGCAATTGAACAGGCGTACCTAATAAAGTTTGGCGCGTGAGTGTATACCTCCTTTTGTTGTTCCCTTAGGCATAAATAAGCAATTAACCTTTTGCAGTGAGGAGACATTTTTTTATTTTGCCCAGAGTTCAGCTTTAAAAACTAACAAAAACCATCTTGATTTTGTCTTCCTTATTGATTTCAATGCATTTTGCCAAAATACAGTTGCAAGAAAAAGTATGTGAACCCCTTGGGATTACTGGAATTTTGCATGAATTGGGCATAAAATGTGCTCTGAACGTCATCTAAGTCACAACAATAGAAGAACACAGTCTGCTGAACATAATACTACACAAACATTAGATGTTGCCATGGTTTATTGCACATAACATGTAAACATTCACAGTGCAGTGAGGAAAAAGTATGTGAACCTTTGGACTTAATAACTGGTTGACCCTCCTTTGGCAGCAATAACCTCAACCAAATGTTTCCTGTAGTTGCAGATCAGACCTGCACAACGATCTGGAGTAATTTTGGACCACTCCTCTTCACAAAACTGTTCAGTGTAGCAATATTCTTGGGATGTCTGGTGTGAATCGCTCTTTTAAGGTCATGCCACAGCATTTCAATCGGGTTGAGGTCAGGACTCTGACTGGGCCACTCCAGAAGGCGTATTCTGTGCTGTTGCAGCCATTGTTTTGTTGAATTACTTGTATGCTTTGGGTCATTGTCCTGTTGTATCACCCATCCTCTGCGGAGCTTCAGTTGGCGGACAGATGGTCGTACGTTTTCCTGCAAAATGTCTTGATAAACTCTGGAATTCATTTTCCCATCAATGACAACAATCCATCCAGGCCCTGAGGCAGCAAAGCAGCCCCAAACCATGATGCTCCCTCCGCCATGTTTACAGTGGGGATGAGGTTTTGATGTTGGTGTGCTGTGCCTTTTTTTCTCCACACATAGTGTTGTGTGTTCTTCCCAAACAACTCAATCTTGGTTTCATCTGTCCGCAGTATATTTTGCCAGTAGTGCTGTGGAACATCCAGGTGCTCTTTTGCAAACTTCAAACGTGCTGCAATATTCTTTTTGGACAGCAATGGCTTCCTCCGTGGTGTCCTCCCCATGTACTCCATTCTTGTTTAATGTTTTCCTTATTGTAGATGTGTCAACAAAAATGTTAGCATGTGCCAGAGATTTCTGTAGGTCTTTAGCTGACACTCTGGGATTCTTCTTTACCTCATGCAGCATTCTGCGCTGTGCTCTTGCAGTCATTTTTACAGGACGACCACGCCTAGGGAGAGTAGCAACAGTGCTAAACTTTCTCCATTTGTAGACAGTCTGTCTTAACCGTGGACACATGAACATCAAGGCTTTTGGAGATACTTTTGTAACCCTTTCCAGCTTCATGCAAATCAACAATTCTTGATCGTTGCTCTTCTGAGAGCTCTTTTCTGTGAGGCATGGTTCACATCAGACAGTGCTTCTTGAAACCAGTAAACCCAAAAACAGGTGTGTGTTTTTTAAGGGCAGGACAGCTGTCAGCAACACATCCAATATCATCACACTGATTGGAGTCAAGGTTGGCTCACTCCTGGCTCCAATTAGCTCTGGGAGAAGGCATTAAGCTAGGGCCTCACATACTTTTTCCTCCCTGCACTGTGAATGTTTACATGTTATGTGTAATTAAACCATGGCAACATCTAATGTTTGTGTAGTATTATGTTCAGCAGGCTGTGTTCTTCTATTGTTGTGACATAGATGACGTTCAGAGCACATTTTATGCCCAATTCATGCAAAATTCCACGTATTTCACCATAATCTCCTGGGGTACATAAAAACTCTCAGTTTTACTTCATTCCTAAATAAAAGTAGAGATAAGTTGGATGTCTTCTCCCCCCCCCCCCATCCTCCAAAAGTATAAACATGACTTCTATGGCAACCTGATTTCATATTTATGTCTGCATCTGGCCAAGGTTTGAGTATGTGCCTGGATATCTCCTCTGGGGTCTATAGCCAGATTTAAGGTGACCCTGCCACCTTGCCCTTTCAGGGCAAATTGATGGGACTATCTAAAGTCCACCCCCAAACACTTTGTATTCACCTCTCCAGCACTTCCCCACTGCTCCTAACTTCAAACCAACTAGTTTTTGGCTTGCTCAGAAATATCATCCCCTCCATCATGTGACAGTGTTCGGGCTTAGCGATTGGGAGGAGGTCATATGCTGGTGTTTGGTTGACTCAGATACATCACCACCTCCATCATATGACAGTGTCGATGTTATTGGGAGGAGGTTACATGTTGGTTTTTGTTTGGTCCAGAGACATTACCACCTCCATTGGTGAAAACCATTTATTATTTTTTTTTGTACTTCACAATTATGTGCCACTTTCTGTTGGTCTATCACATAAAATCCCAATAAAATACATTTACCGTATTTTTCGCTCCATAAGACGCACTTTTTTTTCCCCAAAAAAGGGAGGAAAATGTCAGTTTGTCTTATGGAGCGAATATGGAGCGGCCGGTCCGGTATTTCCACCACCGTCGTGTCAGAATACAGGGCCGGCCGCTCAGCTCTGCAGTGAGACCTTACCTGTTCCTCTATTCAGCGGCGCGCTGTCTTCCCGGCTTCTGTAGTGTGGGCACTGGGCATGACAGCCGGGTGCCAAGTGCGCATGCGCAAGAAGCGGTGCTCTTTGTGAATAGTAAGGCGGTACCTGGGACACATGACAGATCCCAGAAGCCGCAGGACCAATCACAAAGCGCAGCGCTTCTCTCTCGCTCATGCGCACTGGGATTCCGGCTATCCGCCGAGCGCCCACACTTAGTAGTGCGGGCTGGGTTGAGGAACAGGGCGCTGGGCATGACAGCTGGGTGCCAAGTGCGCATGCGCAAGAAGCGGTGCTCTTTGTGAATAGTAAGGCGGTACCTGGGACACATGACAGATCCCAGAAGCCGCCGGACCAATCACAAAGCGCAGCGCTTCTCGCTCATGCGCACTGGGATTCCGGCTGTCCGCCGAGCGCCCACACTACAGAAGCCGGGTAGACAGTGCGCGGCTGGGTTGAGGAACAGGTAAGATGAAAGAACAACTCCGCGGAAGTAAGAGCGGGTACCTGTAAAATTCAGGTACCCGCTCCCCTCCTCCCCAAAGGTCAGCAGTCATCTCCTCTACTGTGTCCGCATCTCTGGTCATCTCCTGTACTGTGTCCGCAGTCTCTGGGTCATCTCCTGTACTATGTCCGCAGTCCCTGGTCATCTCCTGTACTGTGTCCGCAGTCCCTGGTCATCTCCTGTACTGTGTCCGCAGTCTCTGGTCATCTCCTGTACTGTGTCCGCAGTCTCTGGGCATCTCCTGTACTGTGTCCGCAGTCTCTGGTCATCTCCTGTACTGTGTCCGCAGTACTGTGTCTGCAGTCCATTAGTTCAGAATTTTATTTTTCCTGTTTTCTGCCTCTAAAACCTAGGTGCGTCTTATGGTCAGGTGCATCTTATGGAGCGAAAAATACGGTACGTTTTTGGTTGTAACATGACAAAATGTGGAAAATGGCAGGGAGTATGAATACTTTTTCAAGGCACTGTGCATCAACAGGTGTGGGTAAGTGGCCCAAAAGGCACACTGTCAGTGTTCGGGGGCCAAACACCTACTTCCACACACCTGTAAAATTAGGACCTGTGGCTGTGTTTATACAGCTGCTAGGTCCCCATAGCATAACATAGACTTTCTGCACAGCTCCAGCCACATAAAAGGAAAAAAGAAATCTGGTTCACACTGTATTAAGCCACAGCACCTATGTGAATGAGCCCCAATACCTCATTTACACACAAAGCTTAATTTATTTCATCTTTAGCAGAAATTTTGCATGTTATTTTATGTTTGTATCAGCTAATAATGATTTTAGAGTATTTTAAATTGAAAATATAATTTTATACCTTGACTTTTGTAGGTGATTCTATCATGTATGGCACTTTGGCTTATTCATAATTCGGACCATGAGCTGGTACTCCAGGGATTCCTTACCCCCTTTCCCCCTGTACCCCTTTCAACCCTACTCTACAACCTTTTGCTCTTCTTCTTTGTCTATTCATCTTCCTAGAAGAGTTGTTATAAGACATGAAACCATAGTATGCTCAATTTATCCACCAACCTCTCAGCAGCACCTTAGTTTACCTTGTTAAGCGGCCTATATGTACGCTGCATTTTTACCCACTCATTGATTTGCCGACCCCTTGGTCACACATTTGAGGTCGTGCATTTCTCTTTATCTCATCACTATCTGTCTACTTCACTTGTTACAATGTTACGTTACCTATTTGTACTGTTACCTTCTCAGAATTGAACTGTTCGCGCACACACACTGTACGCTACAACAACATAGCTTCATGTAACTCTGTGTCTTGCACTAATCCAACTGTATGTACGGTTCTAAACTCTTTTACTCTTCGACTTCAATAAAAAATTTGAACAAGAAAATATCACTTTAATAGTTTTGGTGGGGGGGCTCTCTCAGGTAGGCTGTACGGGAGCCCGTGATTTCTAACTATAGTACTTGTGCCTGTACACAGTGAAACTAAACCTCCCACAGTTCTTTTCTGACAGCATCTCCTCCTTCAAAGTATTATGTGGTCCAATAAGTGGAGGGCATAAAATGCTAACGGAGACACAGTGGATAGGCATGCAGGGACCTGTTGTCCCACATTAGTCATCTAAGGAGTTCATCTACTTTGTTAAATGGGCCCGTTTGTCAGCACCTGGTTTTATAATGTAGATACCCCATCTAATGATTAGCAATTGCAATATATTACATTTTTGGTTTTGGGTTTATACCACTTTAAATTTCCTCTTTAAATTTTATGTAGTAAAGCAGAAATTATTCTGCAAAATCATGTTGTTCAGAGCAATCAGTCAGATTTCTTTTTTTCTTTAATATACCTACCTTATCTGATTGATTGCTATAATGGGACAGTTTGTTTTGCTAGCTTTTTGTTTTATTTTTGTTTCAATGTGAATCTTTGAGAATCTTAACAAACACAGATGTAAAACTGAAGCATTACTGTGTAAAATTAAGCATCCATGCTGTAGGCAACGTTACGTGAAAAATGCTCCATAGAATTGAATTTTCTAGATAAAAGGGAATAAAAAAAGTAATTACAGATTGTGACTGTATTGTTTCTTAGGCTTTTGTTTTTCTTTTATTCAATAAATTGGATATCAAAAACGATAATAACAATTTCTTATTTCTCTGATAAATCATTGCTTTTAATAATAGATTAACTTTCTTAATCATCTCCCACATTGCTGACACACTGTAACAATAGTCCGATAAAAACCTTTCCAGGTCCCGATTAAAACAATTACGTTTCTTGATTTAATTAGTTAAGTTTTGTACATTTCGGTGTTTTATGTTTTACATATACTGTTGAAAAAAAAAATGTATATATATAGATATATTATTATTATATTATTATACAGTATTTATAAAGCGCCAATAGTTCGCTCAGCGCTGTACATTACAAAGGGGGACAGAACAATACCAATACAATGCAAAACATGAGGAAATTGAGGGCCCTGCTCTTTCGAGCTTACAATCTAGGACATATGATATGTTGAGTGCAAAATGTATTACATTAATTTTTACTGTACTTTTACATACTTTTTTTTCTTTAATTTTCTTTTTGTTGCATTTGTTCCATTGGGTGAAACACCTGGGCTGATTTACTAATATCTGATTTACTGATATCTGCATGCAGTGGTACATCAGTTATGTGCAAACAAGTCAATAATATGCTCCTTGAATATTTAGGGTTGGATTTATATTTTTTTTTTTCCTAGGCCTGCTATTTTGTTCCCTGCTTATCAACAGTTGTGGTGAATATCGCTTCAATCAGGCTACAGGCTTGCTGGCCACCAAGGGCGCTGGCGGGGAAGGGAGGGCACATTTTTAAAGCCCCATAAAAGTTATCGCATCGGATCATTTTTATTCAAAAGCCCATTGCCAGCTGGTTAACCCAGTACCAAGCTCACGGGTGCAGGAGCAGCCAGGAGTAGGGTTGCCATGTCATCCCTTTAAAACCAAACACATTATTTACACAGGTTCTGTGGTTGATTAAGGTGGTAATTAAACTCACCTACTGCCTCATCTGCATTAAATTAGCCTTGGAACCTGTGTAACTAATAAGTGTTCAGTTTTAATGGAATGAGGTGACAACTCTAGCATGGAGCTTCTGTAAACCCTTTGCTTACCATGCCATTTATAAATGTACAATGATGAAAAAGGAGTTAAAGAAAATGAATGCACCCAGAATATCTAAGGACTGGTAAGCTGCAATATGGTAAATTCATGTTTCATGTAGATGTCCTTTAAGAACCCTTTCCTGAATAAGACCATAGGTCTCTCCTTTTATGGCTGTTGAACCCTATTGTTATCTTGTTGTCTCCTTGTTTTTCTTGTACTGATTTAATTGCAGGCCCTTCCGACAAACAGCATGCTCCATCTATCTGGAATAGGATCAGAGCTGTGTCTCTATAGATAATTTACTTCTTTTCCTTTGTCATTATTCATCATGGAAACAGAGGCAACATTACTGCTCCTGAAACATACTTTTCTCTAAACATTTGAAATGCCAGTTTTATATGACACATAATCTTCAATGATAGATAAGTAGGCCAGAATTAATTTAAATGAGGTTCAGTCTCAGTTCAGTAATTTATCTTCTGCTTGCCGTGGCAGTAAATACATCAATCTATACTTTATATGAACGCTGCCTGGAGATACACAGTCACAAGTGACTTCTCTTAAACTTTGTGATAGACAGTTATCACCAGTTTTCTTGGTGGCGCCTACCCTAGTGGGTACCAGTAACAGTGCATAATGCACTATGTCATATAATTCAACAGTGATAGGTGTCTGTGTTGAATCTGTTTTTAGACATATCTTTCCAGCCGGGGATTTAATTTTTGGGGTACGCCTGTCAGGTCCACCAAATCTGACAAAACAACATTACTGATAAGGGCCAGACATCCTGTTGAACTTGCAAGTACCTGTGCTTGTCTTATTATTTAATTTTGGATAGAGTGGAGAAAAGTTTAGAACCATTTGCATCCATAACAGTGTCACTAGTACAGGGCTCCGTGTCTCGAGTACAGTGGTCAGGGGTATGTAAAGCCCAGTGCTGTATGCTACATACCCCTGACTGCCATAGTCTGTAAGCTGTTCTGTATGCTACATACTTATATACTACTGCACTCTGTATGTTACATATGTCCAGGGGTGGACTGACAACTCATGTGGCCCCCGGGCAATAGGGGATCATGGGGCCCCTGTGTCCTTGGCCAAACTCAAAAAAGCCTATGAAAAATATACCAGGGGCATCTCATGGGGCCCCCTACTGACCCTGGGCCCTCGGGCAGTGCCCGAGTTTCCAAATGGTCAGTCCGCTCCTGCATATGTCTGACTGCTGCACTCTGTACACTAGGCTGTATATTAAATACTCCTGTCCCCTGTACTCAGTACATTAAATACTCCTGGCCCTATACTCTTTATGTTGTGAACATGTGTGCCTTGCACTCTGTATGCTGGGCTGCTCATTATCTACTGCTGATGCCTACACTCTGTGTACTATATATTCATCATACCTGCACTCTGTAAGTTACATTCTTCAGACCCCAGCACTCTGTAAGTTACAGACTTCTTATCTCCACATTCTGTGCATTACATGCTCTTAACCCCTGTAGTGTGTGTACATTATATACTCCTGACCCATGCACTTTGTAAGTTGCATGCTTCATATGCCCAAACACTCTGTAAGTCACATACTTTTTATCTCAAAACTCTGTGTGCTACATACTCCTGACCCCTGCATTCTGTAAATTACATACTCCTGACTCTCTGCATTATAAACTTCTCACACCTGTACTCTGTAAGTTACATGCTTCAGGGGTGTGGCTTGTGACACCAAGATGAGTGCATTTTACAAGAACTCCATGTCTGTGGAAGAGGAAAACAGCCTGAGGAAGCATGAATTCTACATAATGGGGAAGATTGGTAAAGCTCTACCTCCAGCACACTCCCCGCACTCACAAGTAGGGAAGCAGTTGCCGCCTATCTTCCGCACACAACAGGGAGAGTCCTCCTCACAGAGTTTGTGGCAAGCCTCCCACTCTGCTTCAGAGAGGACTCCAATGCCTATGGATGAGCAGAGCAAGGCCGTGCTACTTTCCAGGATCTGCCAAATGCCTAAAAATGTTGGATATACAAGGCTTTGTGGCTGACATTAAAAACACCCTGGCCTCTGGAATAGTGGACCTTAAGGAAGACTTGTGCTCCATTGCCATTCGCCTTACCACTGTGGAACAAATGGTTCAGCACTATGAGGATGCCATCATGGACCTCCAACACGTGGCTGCACAGTACAATCTTCAATGGATCTCTATGCAGCGCCATGTGAAGGATCTCGACAACAGGGGCCGCAGACAGAATCTGAGAATTAGGGGTATCTCAAAAACTGTAACAAATCTGGCAGGCCCTGCAGACTTTATTTAATGATCTTTTGGAACAGCCACCTGGTACCCCAGTGCTGTTTGAGCAGGCCCACAGTGTTCTTCAGCCTCGGGGAGGGGAATCTGACCCCCCCCCCCCCCCCTGGGACACAGTGTGCTGCTTTGTGGATTACCAGCTGAAGGAGGACATCCTGAAAATGGCTCGCTCTCAAGAGGAGTTCACCTTTAATGGCTCTGAAGTGCAAGTTTTTCAGGACCTGTCCTTTATTACTATGTGCAATTGGAGGGCTTTGCGCTCACTTCTCCAAGCCTTGAGGGATAAGCAGATCATGTACAGTTGGCATTTCCCTTTCAGCCTCTCTGCTACTCATCAGAGGAAAACCTCTATCCTTCATACCCCAGAACATTTCCAGCACTTCTGCTCTACCCTCCAGGAGTTCTGTCTGCCGGCAGTGTGTCCTGGGCCTTCTCAACCGCTTGGCCGTAGAAGCAGGAGGGGAAGACTTGAGCCCTGCTGTGGAGGACATCTGACTTTCCTGATTGTGCTCTCCCATGTTTCACCTACAGTTGAGGTCGGACCTATCATCCCGCTACTGTCAGATGGGGGAGAATGGTTTATCCTGTACACCAGACTTGCAACCCCTTCTACTTTCTCCCTGTTGAATCCTTTTTCAGGCCGCCCTGTTCCTATCCCCCTCTCCCTCTACGTTCATCCCCTTTTGCACTGCTGGTGGTACAGAGTTTTTCTTCTTCGGCTTTTGTAGGGGTCTTCTGCGAAATTACACAAGTCATGTTCCACTCATCACCCTGCTTATGACTTGTGTCCTCCACCCCATCCTGTACTGTGTCCACATTTGTTCATAGTTTTTTTTTTTAAAACTATAGTCCGGCCCTCCAACGGTCTGAGGGACAGTGAACTGGCCCCCTGTTTAAAAAGTTTGAGGACCCCTGGTCCACCAAACCTGGGAGCCAGAATCTTAAATAGACTCTGTCATGATCCAAGATGGCCACCAGAGTCACATGGGGCAGAAGCATCCAACCGGGTAGCTTCTCCAGTGACCCAGGAAATCATCATCGTTCCTCTTGTCTTCCTCTCCCTCTGCCATGTCACTGCAGTTAAGCACCACCTGCAGTGGAGAAAGTAGACTGCACCTGCTACATGTGTATTTCATACTCCTGACGCTTGCTCTCTGTGTTACATACTTATGATTCCAGCAATCTGTGTGTTATGCAAATCACTGCGCACTGGGTTTTACATTACATACTTCTAATTTCTGTGATATGTAATAACATACCTGTACACACCTGTACATTGCATACTACTGATCCTTGCACACTGTTACATGCGTCTGGCCACAGCACTACATATGTTGTATTGTACATTGCATACTTCTAGCCAAAGTGTTCATTGTCTAAACCAGGGGTCCTCAAACTTTTTAAACAGGGGGCCAGTTCACTGTCCCTCAGACCGTTGGAGGGCCGGACTATAGTTTTAAAAAAAAAAAACTATGAACAAATACACAGTACAGGAGATGACCAGAGACTGCAGACACAGTACAGGAGATGACCAGAGACTGCGGACATAGTACAGGAGATGACCAGGGACTGCGGACATAGTACAGGAGATGACCAGAGACTGCGGACACAGTACAGGAGATGACCAGAGACTGCGGACACAGTACAGGAGATGACCAGAGACTGCGGACACAGTACAGGAGATGACCAGAGACTGCAGACATAGTACATGAGATGACCAGAGACTGCGGACATACAACGGTGGCGGGAATACTGGGCCGGCCGCTCCATAAGACGCACAGACATTTCCCCCCAAGTGTGTCTTATGGAGCGAAATATACGGTAAATACAGGACACCTTGTTGGGTCAGATCTGTGTACAATGTAAAGAGAGGGGGGGAGATAAGGAGGGGAGAGAGAGAGGAGGGGGAGAGTGAGAGAGAGGAGGGGGGGGGGATAGAGAGAGAGGAGGGTGGAGAGAGAGGAGGGGGAGGGGAGAGAGAGAGGAGGGTAGAGGGGAGGAGGGATAGAGAGAGGAGGGGAGAGAGAGAGGAGGGGGGGAGAGAGAGATGGGAGGGAGAGAGGGGGGAGAGAGAGAGGAGGGGGGAGAGAGAGGGGGGAGAGCAGGGGGGAGTGAGAGGAGGGGGGGGAGGAGAGAGGCGGGGGAGAGAGAGGAGGGGGGGGGAGAGGAGGGGGAGGGGGAAGAGAGAGGAGGGGGGGAGGAGGGGGGAGGGAGAGAGGAGAGAAGAGGGAAAGAGAGAGGGAGGAGATCGATCATCTATTGCACTTATCTAGGGTCCATGGCCGTGATACCCGACATGCAGCAATGGAGTCTCCTCTCTTGCTCCCCCTCTTCATGGTCAGCTCTAGGCTCTGCCCTCTGGCCGTGACGGTTGCATGCACTGATCAGAATAGATGGCTGGCTGGCTGCAGAGGCCAGGTGAGTGGTGCGGGTTCATAAGCCGAGCCCACCTTCCCCTGTTCTAGAATTGCTGATCCCGCCCTCCCGCCTTCCGCCCAAGCCCTGCCGAGCTCTCCCGACCTGCCAAACCCTAGTCCCTTGCCTTGCGGCAGATACGTCCCTGCCCGGTGGGCTGGATAAATGTCCTCGGCGGGCCACATGTGGCCCGCGGGCCGTAGTTTGAGGACCCCTGGTCTACACAGTTGCCATGGCAAAATCTTATTTAAAGAGACCTTATTGCCAGACCAGGGGCGGACTGACAACTCATGGGGCCCCCGGGCAATAGGGGATCATGGGGCCCCTGTGTCCTTGCCCAAACTCAAAAAAGCCTATGAAAAAGGTACCAGGGGCATCTCATGGGGCCCCCTACTGCCCCCAGGCCCTCGGGCAGTGCCTGAATTTCCAAATGGTCAGTCCGCCCCTGTGCCAGACCATTCACTTCAAAAACAATCCTCCCATAAGCTTGTATGGGCATTTTATGTACTTTATTCTTTATATTTACCTGTAAAAGTGTCCTTTGTGTAGGCATCCAAAAGCTTTAAGGGCCAATTCACAGTATATGCAGTGATAGACAGTTCACCGCATGGTAAAATGCCTGTCACAATGGGGACACAGAAAACAATTGTTTCCTATGTGTCCCATTTACACTGCAGTGCAGGCTAGCGCTAAGTGAGACGCAGACATGCTGCTGCTTTCAGGCCGAATCACCCTGTAATGTCGGGCAAGGCAGTGAATCACGTTGCCCGATATTGCAGGGAATGAAGTGTGTGTTTTTGTACACTTCACATAAAGTTTGATCAAAACAAAAAGAAAAAAAAAGGGGGAGCCATGTGATGCGCCAAACAGCACATCACACTGCCCCCTAGTGCAGCCAGCAACACAGAGCGGCCAGAGTGGTGAATCGCTCCTGCTGCTTTTCATTGCAGTGTGAATTTGCCCATAGACTACTGCTGGGCACCAAGGTTTGTGGGAAGATGTGATGTCAGCAACCCCAGCAGACTCTGAGCTGCTACTAAAGTGACACTCTGTAGTATTTCCCTTCAGCTCTTCTCTGGCAGCTACATAAAAGGTAGCAAGGAGGTGGAGTAGAGGAGTTGGGTCAGCACAGACAGTAATTAGAAACTCCCAGAAGAGGAGAATGCTATGACATGCAAAGAGAGAGGGGGACTGATTGGTGTTGCTTCTTCCTCTTCCACTCTATGCTCTGCTCTCTGGGACTACCAAAGGGCCCATACCACATCATATTCTTGTATTTATACCGCTTGCATAAACAAAATACACTTAATGACAATGTCCTCTTTAGGTTGATAATTTTAATTTCCATCAAACGATGGGGCATCCTTACATTCCTAACACATTACCCAGTCTCTATAATATTTCCCTTCAGCCCTTCCCTGGCAGCTACATAAAAGGTAGCAAGGAGGTAAGGGGTGGAGTAAAGGAGCTGGGTCAGCACAGAGAGTAATTAGAAACTCCCAGAAGAGGAGAATGCTATGACATGCAAAGAGAGAGGGGGACTGATGGGTGTTGCTTCTTCCTCTCCCACTCTGAGCTCTGCTGTCAGGGACTACCAAAGGTCCCATACCACATCATATTCTTGTATTTATACCACTTGCATTAAAAAAAATACACTTAGGCAGGATTCACACATATGCGGTACAGTATATCGCATGTAATTCACACAGGAACCACACTGCATTCCTGTGCAAATCACATGCGAATTGTGTGCGGTGCGATTGGAGCCATACATTTTGTAATGCTCAAATCACACCGCATCCGCACCAAAAAGGTGCAGGACCCTTTTTTTAGTCCACACTAGAATCAGATTGCATAGGTATTCACACCCATGTGATTCGATTCTGCACATCGCACTGCGTTTTGCGGACCAATTTCGGGGTGTTGTTAACTTAAGAAACACACCCGCAACGGTTCACATGAACGGGGTGAGATTCTGATTCGTTGCGGAATTCGCACAGGAAATGCTGCGAATTCCACACCGCATCCGTGTGAACCCAAGCTGAATGGCATATTAATAATTGTAGAGCTTCATTAATTTGTGTCCTTTAGCTCTGCCTGTAATTCAGTTTCTAAATATTTTTCTTGTTGTATCAATACCAAAGCATGGATTGAAAACAAAGTATTCCCCAGAATATACATCGTGGAGGCTGGAGACTGCAACTGCCGAGATAATGACACCCCAGATCAATCAATTTAGGAACTTCACTCATTTAGCCAGAAGATTGCTTTCGCAATTAATTTCCAGGATAATCTCTCCAGAAGAATTTAGGTAATGTTGAATATGCATATTTCTATTATAATGTCGCTGGAGTTCCTGTATAATTCAAAAATTAATGACAAAAATTATGTTTTAAGCTAATGTAACAAGGCTGCATGAAGGTTTGGTCTGATTGCTGCATTCATTTTCTTTCCTAATAGGTTGTTAAGCGTGTTCATAAATTACTCAAAGTCCCTGAATATTTACAGTTCAGAAAACGTCATTAAAAGACAGGGTGACCTATTTTATTAAAGTGGAATTCTTACCACCGTACTATGTTGAACTCAAAAGAAAAAAAATCAACCAATTTGCTATTTACATGATGGCAAACAAAAGAAGCTGTAAAGTGATATAAAGAGTATTACACGTTGGAGACCTTTTTAACGTTGTTGTCTGCAGCCTGGAATCTTTCCATTATCCTTTCTCAGAATGAACAGGTCAAAAGTCACACAGAATAGAAGTACAGTATTGCTACTGCTGTAGAAAAGACAACCTGATCCGCGAGGGAATAAAAGCAGAAAGAATGCTAAATTGCTCACATGCAGGAAAAGATAAGCACTACATTTATTTATTCCAGGTACTTATATAGCGCCATCAATTTACACAGCGCTTTACATATAAATTGTACATTCACATCAGTCCCTAACCCTCAAGGGGCGTACAATCTAAGGTCCCTAACTCACATTCATATACAAGGGCCAATTTAGACAGGATCCAATTAACCTACCTAGAGCTTAGTTACAGTGAGAGATAATAGGAAAGCTGGAAACATGGGGACTGTACAACTTTGTTTTTTAAGGATGAACTCAAGTCAAAAAACAAGATGAAAATGAAGGATCCAGTAAAAGATACAACAGCAAAACAAGCCTTTCTGCAATATTCACCTTCAGTCCACAGCTTCTCCCGCAGTAATTTTTTTCAGATGTTCTCAGTCTGATGACCAAAGCTGGAATTTGCTCACTGTCTCAATCTTGGGCATTGCTTTTGTAATCTACCTAAGGCATGCCTGGGCCATTGTATATGCAGTGGTGTATTTAGATTTTGTGCTGCCCTAGGCAACACAAAAAATATGACAGTACCCCCCCCCCCTTCCACTGGGAAAGTGGAGAGAGACTTACCCCATCACAGCTCTAATGGCGTCACCAGGAACCAGCGGCTGAAGGCAGAGCACAGAGCAATCAGGACAACCAGTGTCCCTTCTTCTGGGGACAGCGCCGCCCCCCTGAAGAATGCCACACCTTGTTTGCCTTGCAGTAAATACGCCCCTGTAAATGTGATACAACTGGATGAGATATCTTGGTATACAACATCCATTGGGCATTTTATGTCCATTTTACATGAGCAGGGCATTGCCTATTACTCCTCCCACTACATCTGAATGGAGGTTGTTTGATGCATGGACAGTGATATACTATCACACCCTATGTTTTTTTTTCCTAGTTTTCCCCCCCAGCCCGTTTTCCCTAGCCTAGTTCCCCCCCCCCCCCCCCCCCCCCCCCCCCCCCCACCCTCCCATCCTCACCATCACGACTAGCAATGCCACCATCTATCCCACCTCACACACCAAAGTCCTGGGTGTCACCCTGGACTCAAACCTTTCCTTCCAACTTCATGTCCAATCACTATCAAATTCATGCAGGCTCCACCTCCGCAACATCTCCAAGATACGTATGTTCCTCACCCCAGACACCACTAAACAACTCGTTCACTCCTTTATTATCTCTCATGCCTGGACTACTGCAACTCCCTTCTCATTGGCCTACCCAAACACATGCTATCCCCGCTCCAGACTATCCTGAACTCAGCGGCTAGACTCATCCACCTTACCAACCGCTCTCCGCTTCTGCCACCCCCCCTATGCCAATCCCTTCACTGGCTCCTGATTGCCCAACGCATTAAATTCAAATTAATAACTCTGACATACAAAGCCATTCATAACGCTGCCCCAAACTACCTCACTGACCTGATACCCACAATACCACCCTACCCGTGCCCTTCGCTCCTCACAAGACCTCCTACTCTCTAGCTCCCTGGTCTCCACCTCCCACGCCCGACTTGAGGACTTCTCCAGGACTTCCCCCATCCTCTGGAACTCCCTACCCCAATCCATCAAACTGTCACCACCCTCCTCACCTTCAGGCGCACCCTGAAAACCCATCTCTTCAGGGAAGCCTACCCCACCCTCACCTAACAGTCGTTCTCCTACCACTCCATCCCCCACAGCCACTTCCTTCTGTACCTGTACCCCAGCAATGGGCAAACTACGGCCCGCGGGTTGTACACTGCCCGGCGGACCTTTTAATCCGGCCCGCGGAGCTAGGCTCCCGCTAGGCTCCTCTCAGTCCGCCCTGAAGACTGGTGTAGCATGAAAATCCATCTCCTATGAGGATCTGTCCCCCTCGACGTATCTGCGCATGTGCCGGAGATCGCCGATCG